AAGAATTCCCTTTAGTATTTATTTTAGTGCAGGTATATTTTTAAAAACTTTTCTTGGTTTTTGTTTAACTGAAAATAATTTTATTTTAACTTTTCTTTCAGGCATTTTATCTTATTATGCAAGTCTAGGTTGGCACTTCTTTTCCTTAAGCCCTTGGCAGATGACATTCCATTATCTTCTGGTTTTCATCTGTTCAAGTTATGGTTGAGAGAGAATTCTCTGTGGACTCTTGTGTGTCTGCACATCTTTTAAGCAAAGGAATTGCCTGCATTTGTTCTGGACTGTTTTTTAAGAATGTTGTGGCCGGGCGCAGTGGCCCACACCTGTAATCCCAGCACTTTGGGAGGCCATCACGAAGTCAGGAGATTAAGACCATCCTGGCTAACAGGGTGAAATGCCGTCTCTACTAAAAATACAAAAACAAAATTAGCCGGGTGTGGTGGTGGGCGCCTGTAGTCCCAGCTACTCAGGAGGCTGAGGCGGGAGAATTACTTGAACCCAGGAGGCAGAGGTTACAGTGAGCTGAGATTGCACCACTGCACTCCAGCCTGGGCGACAGAGCAAGACTCTGTCTCAAAAGAAAAGAAAAGAATGTTGTATAGCAAGCAACCTTTGAATATAGTAATAGTGTCTCCCTCTAAAGCAGAGGACAGGTGTCCTTATGTCCCTGCCTCAGGGTTCCTGTCCTGCAATACAACTTACTTACATGTGTCACCTTATGAGAATTAGGGTTCAGGAAGACAAATACTGCTATTCTGTCTAATGCTGTTGCTGTGAGTAGTAAACTGTCCTTTGTTTCTTATCTAGGATTCTCATGTCTTCTGCCAGGGGCTGTGAAACTGCGGTAGATTGACTCGTTAGCTTGCAAATAGGGTCAAATCCCAGATTTTTCAGTTTTTGATAGTGTTGGTAATAATGATGGGATGCTGACAGAGACATGACTTTCTGGAAGAGGAAGTATAAAGGCCTCACGGGCTCTTTAACAGATTTTGAGGGAAGTCCATGAGAATTGGTGGTGAACATGTTGACCAAATTGCATGGTCAACAGAGCAATAAATGTTTCTTCATTTTATTGCCTGTTAATGAGTAGGAATTCAGGAGGTGGTTGCAAGCCAAATCCAGTAAGCATGTTCAAAGACAGCTTTCTAAACAGTGCCCTGATTGTTGCTAACTTTCCTCCAGGGGAACTTCAATTTAGTGGTCAGCCTCAGGTGTGTGCTATTGTGACAAATAGCAGTTAAGATTCCTATTGGGTGGACAAAAGTTTCCACCCACTTTCAGACAGTTACAGAGACTTAGCAGTGGTCAGCCTCAGGTGTGTGCCATTGTAACAAATAGTTAAGATTCCTATTGGGTGGACAAAAGTTTCCACCCACTTTCAGACAGTTACAGAGACATGTAGCTACACTGAGCATAAAAGGAGGAAAATTGATAAACACTATGGACAGAAACCAGGTGAATTGTTAGAACTTTGGTTTGCTTGGGTTGGTTGCTTAAAGATTAAGGAAGAATGGAAATAGCTGAGCCGTCTTACTATTTAGCCCCTCCTGTAGTCTGTCATGCCAACCTCAGATCCCTTTGGAGATGACAGTAAAAGTCATTTCAGAGTCCTTTTGCAGTGGATCTAAGATGTGATAGAGGAACTTTGGCACCCTAGGAGAGAGGGGACTTTCCCTCAGACAGACAAAACTCCTGCGAGATACCATGGACAAGATACTAACTCGTATCCAGGCTCTTACATCTCCACACTGGAATTACAGTGCTGATGAAAATGACCAACGTGGTATGAAGAATTAGATAAATTCTCAAGAGTCATTTAGAAAACTCCGTTAACCCTTATGTTGAAGCCAAGCAAGAATTTAAGAGGTGTTATCTTGACAGTAGGGTAGCAAATGCTACCTTTAAAAGAGTCACCACTGTCCAAGTCAACCTTGAGTCAATCAAGAGTCATAAACCCTGCAGCTTCAGCCAGAAACAGTATGGCTGTGACTTTTTAATCAAGAGGCCCTAAAGCAGAAACAAATGGTGTCAGTAATGGTACCTTGCCACCTACTACAGATTTTGGTTAACCAATAACATTAGATAAGTTCATTTGGTTGACCTGCAAGCAACCATCACCTCACTTGAAACCAAAAGTAAAATATGCCTTATATACTGACTCAGAATCTTTTTTCCATTTGTGCTCTCTGATTCTGTCTAATTCCTTATCCTGACCTCAGATGCTTTAAGGAGAAATATGACTGGGATAGCACTGAAGTCTTCCTGTCTCTAAGGGACACTGGAAGCCATAACCTACCCATTCAAATATTGTGGGAAGCTTCAGGAAGAGGAAGGAGTGAAACTTAGTCTCTATTAAATACAGGACCCCAAGTTGCCATTCTAGTCAGTCCACTGTGGGGAGGAAGCACCTGAATTCACCTAATGGGATTTGGGCAGGGTTCAGCAGAAGGGAGGCTAACATGGTTTGTCAGTGGGGCTCTTTAGGCCAATTCAGTATACTGTTGTTACTGCTTCTACATCTGAATGCTTAGCAGGTATTCTGTATTTCAGTATCCCTTAAGTGCCAGAGGGGATCCTCCCTATTGGGAAGAACTGAATATAGAGAAGTGCCACAAGTCCTTTGGGACCCCTCACAAACCTAATGACTCCTTTGAGGTAGTCTTTATTTATAACTAATGATTCTGCTAATTGGAGCCTTTGGCAAGACGGAAGAAGCCTCCACTTGGAAGTACCCCTTTAGGTTTTAGACTTTCACCCAAATTGGACGTGTTTTCAGCTCTCCAGACCATTTGTAGTCTGACAGATATGCCTTTTGTAATAAACACCACTCAACAATGGGCTGATAGTCAAGAAATTCAGTGGGAACCGGTACTGTGGCATAAGCCTGTAATACTAGCTACTTAGAGGGCTAAAGTAGGATTGTTTGAGCTCAGGAGTTTAAGATCATTCTGGGCAACCTAATGAGACTGCATCTCAAAAAAAGAAATTCAGTGAAGCTTTCATGTGTCCTACAATCATAGGTATCTGGTATTGTTGAGTATAGGAATGGCTCCTCAGAAGTCAACTCAGAAAAGATATAGACTCTACCTTCCTAACCTTTTTCTGGTTCACACTCCTTAGTAAGGAAGTTTGTTCACTGAATGTGGCTGTTGCCAGAAAGGGATTATGTCTTCTTGGTCACTTCCTTAGAAATAACCAGGACAAAAGAGGTAGAAATTTATTATAGAACTGATTTTGAAAATTTAAGATTCTGTTCTGACCATTCCTGGGCATGATGTTTCTTTCTTTCTTCTAATGGCAGTTGCTGGCCAGCCTGGTTGGTGGTAGATATACCTTCCCGGTTACAGCCTAGCCAAAATGGAGCTTATGGGGTTCAAATTTAATTCTGGTCCAGCTATCTGGATTCTTTTGTTGGATAGCATGTCCTAAATCATAAAGATAATGATCACTCAGTTGAGTGCACTGCTTGTGAAGTACACTTACAGTGGCTCATATAGACCATAACACAATACATTTTCTTGCAACCAATTTTCAGAGTGATTTATATTATCACTTTGTGGTCTGTGTTTACTACTACAAATTGTCATATACAAATATAGATCTCTTTTTTTCCCATAATTCAACAGTTTTATTTACTTTGGTATGTGAAAGGAAAATAAATCTTCAGACCCCAAAATCACTAAGCTAAAAGGAAAAGTCAAGCTGGGAACTCCTTAGGACAAACCTGCCTCCCATTCTATTTAAAGTCATACCTCTGCTCAATGAGAGAAATGCATATCTGATTGCTTCATTTGGAACGGCTAATCAGAATCTCAAAAGAATGCAGCCCTTTATCTCTTATCTACCTATGATCTGGAAGCCCCTCTCCCTGCTTCGGTTGTCCCACCTTTCAGATCGAACCAGTGTACATCTTACATATATTGATTGATGTCTCATGTGTCCCTAAAATGTGCCCTGACCACCTTGGGCATATGTCGTCAGGACCTCCTGAGGCTGTGTCATGGGCGTGTCCTTAACCTTGGCAAAATAAAATTCTAAATTTACTGAGACCCATCTCAGATATTTGTGGTTCACAGGTATATTCATTTTTAAAAATAGCTAATGCATGCAAGTGATGAAAGAGTCAAACATTATCAAAGTGTTTGCAATAAAAAGTTTCTCAGAATTCCTCATACTCCTCACCATGTGACTCCCAGTTTTCTTCAGGTGTAACCATTATTATTTTCCTGGGTATTCTTCCTAAAGACATTCCTATGGCAGAACTAGGATGGCCTTCCATTTGAGTGAAAATAAAAACCATAATTTTCATACTAAGATGGAAGGTATGCAGCATTATCCCATTTGGAATCCTATTGATGTTTTCACATAATAAATTCAAACAGTTGTATGAAAACTCAATATTTAAGTGATTGCTGTACTTAAGGACTGGGATCATTCTCGTTTGTGGCTTTATTATATAAGGTATTGAGAACATAGTACATGTTCCACTGGTGTATTAACAATCAATTGTGTACCATTTCTAAAAATTGATAGAGAAGATACAAACAAAGTAATTGAAGCATTTTCTTTTCCTTGTTTTTCTTTTTCTCTTTTTTGTTAATACCATACTTTTAGCCCAAATCGCTGGGTAGTACTAGATAAAGCCCAACCAACTTTTTTATCTTTTTTGAGATTCACCCTGCTTGCCTTATATATGTTAATAAAATACTTATGTATTCATTCTAGGATTTAGTCACAATTTACTAATCACTAATTAGGCTTCAGAATTCCTAGATCTCCTGTGACAAACATACAGAGCATATCTGGTACATCACTTCTATAAATGATTAATGTGATCCCTTACTTATTGAATCTTTCTAGGTTTCCTCAGAGGGTAATGTTCATTTTTTGGAATACTCACACTGTGATCACATTTTATGGGCAAATACTAATCTGTGTCACCTGAAACTTTCTTACAATATACAGAACGCATTCCATTTGGATTTTGTTTATTGTTCCAGGTGGTGAGAACAAGACCAAGATTGGAAAGCCAGCTTCAGAGGAGGGAATTACAGCAAAAACTGAACCATTGACAGAAGAGTCTAGCAGTCTCAGAGAGAATGTTCTCCAGGATTCTGAAGGCAGAGAATTCTGTGAATTTGGGGATAAATTAAATGAAAAAGATCAGAACGTCTTTAAAAGGAGACCTCAAAACTGTGAAGGATATGGGCAAAGCTTCGTTTGGAGTACAAGCCTTTTTAGGCATCGAAGAACCCATTGTGAGAAACCTTATGAATGTGATAAGTGTGAAAAGGCCTTTAGTGTGAGCTCAGCCCTGGTTCTGCATCAGAGAATTCATACTGGGGAGAAACCCTATTCTTGTAATTGGTGTATTAAAAGTTTCAGTCGGAGCTCAGACCTTATTAAACACCAAAGAGTCCACACTGGTGAAAAACCCTATAAATGTGATGAGTGTGGGAAAGCCTTCAGTCAGAGCTCAGATCTTATTATACATCAGAGAATCCATACAGGAGAAGAACCCTATCAGTGCAGTCACTGTAGTAAAAGTTTTAGCCAGCGCTCAGATCTGGTTAAACATCAGAGAATCCATACTGGAGAGAAGCCTTATACTTGTAACCAGTGTAACAAACATTTTAGTCAGAGTTCTGATGTGATAAAACATCAAAGAATTCACACTGGGGAAAAACCATATAAATGTGATGTGTGTGGGAAAGCCTTCAGTCAGAGCTCAGATCTTATTCTGCATCAGAGAATCCACACTGGGGAGAAACCATATCCGTGTAATCAGTGTAGCAAAAGTTTCAGTCAGAATTCAGATCTTATTAAACATCGAAGGATCCACACTGGAGAGAAACCCTATAAATGTAATGAATGTGGGAAAGCTTTTAATCAGAGCTCAGTCCTTATTTTACATCAGAGGATTCATACTGGAGAGAAACCCTATCCTTGTGATCAATGTAGCAAAACCTTCAGTAGGCTTTCAGATCTTATTAATCATCAACGAATTCACACTGGAGAGAAGCCTTACCCATGTAATCAGTGCAATAAAATGTTTAGTCGAAGATCGGATCTTGTTAAACATCACAGAATTCATACAGGTGAGAAACCCTATGAATGTGATGAATGTGGGAAAACCTTTAGTCAGAGCTCCAACCTTATTCTTCATCAGAGAATCCACACTGGAGAGAAACCTTATCCATGTAGTGATTGTACTAAAAGCTTTAGTCGCCGTTCAGATCTTGTTAAGCATCAAAGAATACACACTGGAGAGAAACCATATGCATGTAATCAGTGTGATAAAACTTTTAGTCAAAGCTCAGACCTCACTAAACATCAGAGAGTACACTCTGGTGAAAAGCCTTATCATTGCAATAGTTGTAAGAAAGCCTTCAGTCAGAGTTCTGACCTTATTCTTCATCAGAGAATTCACACTGGAGAAAAATCATATCCATGCACACAGTGCAGCAAAAGTTTCATTCAGAACTCAGACCTCATTAAACACCAGAGAATCCACACTGGGGAAAAACCATATAAATGCAGTGAGTGCAGGAAGGCTTTCAGTCAGTGCTCAGCTCTTACTGTACACCAGAGAATCCACACTGGGGAGAAACCAAATCCATGTGATGAGTGTGGCAAAAGCTTTAGTCGGCGTTCTGATCTCATTAACCATCAAAAAATACACACTGGTGAAAAGCCGTATAAGTGTGAGGCACGTGGGAAAGCCTTTAGCACATGCACAGATCTTATTGAACACCAGAAAATCCATGCTGGGGAGAAACCTTACCAGTGTGTTCAGTGCAGCAGAAGTTTTAGCCAACTCTCTGAACTTACTATTCATGACGAAGTCCATTGTGGGGAAGACAGTTAAAATGTCATGAATGTGAGAAAACCTTTAGTATATACTTCAACTCTATTCAGTACCAGAGACACCATACCAGGAAAAAATCTAATGAATGCTGTTCATTATTGATGAGTATGAAAAAGTTTTTAAATCAGTGGTAAGCTCTTATGCTACATTAAAACCACACTGGAGCCAGGCGTGGTGGCTCATGGCTGTAATCCTAACACTTTGGGAGGCAGAGGTGGAAGCATCACTTGAGCCCAGGAGTTTGAGGCTACAGTGAGCTATGATCCCACCATTGCACTCCAGCCTGGGCAACAGAGCAAGACCCTGTCTATTAAAAAACAACAACATCATCAAACAAACAAACCAAAAACACCAGTACCACACAGGAGATTAATTCAGTTTTTATAATGAAAGTTTAACTCAGAGCTCAGACATTACTAAAATTAAGAAAAATTCTCCAGCCTGGCCAACATGGTGAAAGCCTGTCTCTACCAAAAAATAAAAAATAATCAGCTGAGTATGGTGGCAGGCACCTGTAGTCCCAGCTATTCGGGAGGCTGAGGCATGAGAATCACTGGAACCTGGGAGGTGGGGGTTGCAGTGAGCCGAGATCCGCCACTGCACTCCAGTCTGGGCAACAGAGTGAGACTCTGTCTCAAGAAAAAAAAAAAAGAAGAAAAAGAAAAACTCTGAGGAAGAGTCCTGTGAGTTGTGGGAAAACCTTCAATGTGAAAAAATTTTTTACTGAATGTGAGTATACAACAATAGAAACAAATTTCTATCTTTTCTATAATGTTGGAAAAGCTCTAGTCTTATTCAGACATAACCTACAGGAAGAGAGTTGTATTATTGTGAGAGATCTAATGCAGAACTTATCAAGTATTGTAAAAATCAGTGTGGGAGGTATTCAGTCAAAAGTCAGAAGGAAATGTATTATTGTTATAATCTCAAACCTTTAGAGAGCTTAAATTACCAATGGCATATCAGAAATTATTTTAGATAATGTAGGGAAAACTTAAATCCCCTCCATATCTTAATTGGCATTTATAATAATATGACACTTAACCCTGATAGCTAGTCTTACTTTATGCTAATGCTAGATATCTATTTTTAAATTCCACGTGTGTAAACATGCTATACTATTCTGATATTAAACTTACTAAGTACATAATTCCAGTGCCCCCTTTTCTCAGAAGATTTTTTTTGTTTTTAGTTTTGGAGGGTATAGTTTTGGTTTTCCTAGTGCACATTAGTTTGTGCAAGTTCTCGTAATGTTCACAGGAAATACAGATTTATTTTGCTTTGAATAATACAGCCCATAAATTCTATTGGTTTGAAAGTTCTTCACTACCATTTAATAACAGCTGCTAAACCTGTGAAACAGGATCTTTAAAAAAATTTTCATTATGTCAAAGTGTAGAGATGTTTCTAGCAGCATTTATCTTCTCATCTATAGATTGAACAAAAAGTAGTAGCTGTGAAATTGTGATTTGTAATAAATATATATCTGGTCTTCATCCCCTAGTACAGAGCTCCTAAAACCCTTGCAATTTCCTGAGTGGTAAGAGTAATTAGGATGACAAGCCCCTTTAACCACACCTGAGTTTATGTTAATGAGATTACTTTTGGAAAGACAGAACCACAGGATGGGGACTAGTTGCCAGGAGAATCAACCATGTGATTAGAGGGTTGGAACTTTCAGATCAACTCCATCCTACCTTGACCTCTAGGAGGAGAGAGGCTGGAGATGGAATTCAGTCACCAGTGGCCAGTGATTTAATCATTCATGCCTACGTGATGTGGCCTTCATAAAAACCTAAAGGACAGGATTCAGAGAGCTTCCAGTTGAACTTGTTGAGGTACTAGGAAGGTGTTGTACCTAGGGAGGGCATGGAAGCTCAGTGTTCCTCCCACATACCTTGCCTTATGCATCTCTTTCATCTGGGTGACCCTTAGTTGTATTCTTTTACAAGAATCTAGTAAATAAACTTTTCCTACCTTCTATGAGCCATTCTAGCTAATGCTGAAACTCAAAGAGGGGATTGTAGTAACCTTGGATTTATAACCAGTTGGTCAGAAGCATCAGTGAAAACATGGACATGAGATTGGTGTCTGAAGTGCAGATTAGTGTCCGAAACTGACACAACTGGTTTCACTTGTAGAACTGAGCCCTTAACCTGAAGCATCTATGCTGATCTGATTCCAGGTAGATAGCATCAAAATTTAATTACAGGGCACTTAGTGGGTGTCCACGGAAAATTGGAGAATTGCTTGATATGGGAAAACCTCATATACATCTGGTGTCAGAAATATTGTGAGTATAGAGAAGACAATAAGTTTTTCCTATACAGTAGCTAAAGTACCTACATGATTAATTTGTATAGTCTATTCTGTGTAAAAATAAAAAGACTTTCTGATATTTTTTTCAAGTGGCAACATTCATCAGACTTTTTTGATTTCTGACATACATCCTGAAAACAGGCAACACACGTGCAAAGTTTTCCACTGAAAAATAGAAATAGTTTGAAAAAATAAAAAATTCAAATTGTCTTTCTGGTATTAACAATTTGATAAATTCTGCTACTAAATAATAGTACTACAAAGTTGTTTACTCTGTCCTCCATAATTGTCCAATTAATATTTTAATTTAGCATTGTTATATTACTTCCTTAGTGTGATGCTAAGGCAAGACCTTTTGGGAGGTTTTGTAGTACATAAAATATACTGTCTCTTCCAATGAAGTGTATATTGTATAGTGATAGAGACTAATATGTACAGAAAACATATGGCTCAATGTAATCATAAAAGTAGGACATGCTTGTAAGAACTCAGAGGAGTCAGGGTTCAATTCTGATTAGAAGGAAAAGGGAGAGCTTTGTGGAAGTCCTGAAGTCCTTGAGCTTTGAAGTCCTTGAGCTTTGAAGGATGGGAATAGAGGCATAAATGCAGGGAGGGAATAATCACAATGGCACAAAAGGAAGTGCAAGAAATGTGGAGCATAGTGGTTATCACTTATTTGGTAAATATTCAGTGTCGGGCACTCTACTGGTTCCTATTGAAGAGGGGCAGGGGAAGGGCGCCTGCCCTCAAGAAGGTCACAAACAGTTACGATGCATTATGAAAATGTTTATTGAAACATACATTTCGAAGGGTAAGAATAATGTGGAAATGAAAATCAAGTGGGGAAAAAAAAAGGATTGTGATGCTAAACAAGCAGGCACTTTAATGGGCTGTAGCTTATCTCTAAAACAAATGTACCTGGTGGGTTAGACTAGATTTTATGTTTCTGCATTTTATTCTCAAAGTAATGAAAAGCCATTAAGGTCGTTGAATGATCTTTCTGCTTTAAAAGAAGTTTCAGATTAAAAGGGGGAGAGAAACTAACAGGAAATCCATTTTTAAAGTCTGGAAATAAAATCATGAGGTCCAGAAGTAGAGGAGCTAAAAGGTATTGACATGATGATAGGTTGAGAAGTGGGTAAGAGAAAGGTAAATTTTATTATCTGTTCTTTGGAGAATTTAAAAAGCAAAGAAGAAAAAACAGGGTGGTCTCCAAATCTATTTCTGAAGTTTAGCTATCTCTCCTGAGAATACATTTTGAGAGCTTACTACACATTTCTGTATTCAATGTCCTACGGGTAAACTCAAATTCATGAACTTAACACACACACACACACACACACACACACACACCCATGATTTCTTCCTCCTGAATTGCCTATCTTTATGAATTACACTACTAAACACCTTGTCATCCACATAAAATAACTGGTAATCAACCTACACTCCTGACCTCCAGTTTTCCAAACCTGGTTGCTTACTAGGTCTTAGAAATGAGTGACAAAACTACAAAATTCGAACAACTGTCAAGAATATAGAGTGGAAGGGAAATGCAGAGAATTGGGCCTGACACTTTATGCCGGTTGATTCTTCCAGGCATTTGTTGATTCTTGAACTGACAGGGAAAAGGGCCAAGAAATCTATTCAAACCATGCTGGAAGGTTAAATGAAACTCAGCTGACTCGTGCTAGGGAATAAAAATTAGAGTATAAATTGTGCGAAGTAGGTGGTGTCCTTGTAAACAGCCCACATTCTCAATGTAAACACTATATGGCTACACCCCAAGAGAGGATAAAACCTGACCAAGTCTTAAAAAGACTGAATGCAATGTCAAGTAAGGTCAACCTTTTAGTGAAGTAAGTTATCTTCCCCTAATCTAGCTGCCAGCTAGAAAAGACGAAAGGGTGAATCGTGTCTGGAGGATGGCTATCCAGATTCTGCAATTTTTCATGCACAGTACGTTCAATCAAAACTTGCCAAAACCATTAGAGTCAGAAACATCAATATGAACTCATATATACATTTTATGCACACAGATGGATTATGAAGAAACAATTATAGAACATACATCTATACATATGTTAGTATGCATACATACACTACCTAGCTCTTTGAGAGGATCTAGAAGCAATGACACCCCAGCATCAATGAGCATAACCAGACCTTGGTTTCTAAATATCATTCTCCAAATGAAAGAAACCAGGGCTTCTTTGAGAAATGACTGGTTGTAGGGCTAGGGCAGGGAAAACGCAAGATGAGCCTAGAGCATCTTGTACAGAAAGTAGGTAAGAGTTCAAAAACGAAAGGATAGGGGCATGTCAAAGGAGCATAGGAGACAAACTAAAGGAGTTCCCAAGGCCAAATAAGCATACATGCATCCATACTGATAAATAGATATGGGAGAAGAGACAACTCTTCCTTATGGAAAAATTCCAAATTATATATTTAGATTCTCTCCTCCTCCAGAGGAAGCTGGACCTGTTGACCTACTTCCAAAGGATAGAGTATGGAAAAGGAAAAACTAACTACAGTGGAGAAATCTGACAAAAACTACCTTAAGGCAGGGCTTGTCAACCTTAGCACTATTGACATTTTGGGGCACATAATTTTTTGCTGTGAAGAGCCGTCCTGTGGATTTATTAGACATTTGATAATATCCCTAGCCTCTATCCACTAGATACCAGTGGCAACCCACCCCAAGTTATGACAGTCAGTCAAAAATGTCTCCAGCCACTGCCAAATGTCCCCTGATGGGCTTCTCACCTGCCTAAGATGCACCAGCTAAAGGGTAACATCACCAGTGAGTGATGTTATGTGAATATTATGTACCACTTGGTATGATGTTACAAGAAAGTCACTTCAAATTGTAGTATTCTTTTTAAAAACCTGTAATCCCCAAATCAACTAAAATCAGAAATAAAAGAGGGCATGTTACTGCTATAATTTCAGAAATAAAAAGGATTAGAAGAAACTTCTAGGAATAATTGTACACCACAAATTGAAAAACCTAGATGAAACAGACAAGATCCTAGAAACACACAGCCTACCAATGAATTGTGAAAAAGTAGAAAATCTGAATAGAACTATGGCTAGTAAGATTAAATTAGTGGACCAGGTGGCTTCACTGGTGAATTCTATCAAAGAAGTAACCCCAACTCTTATTAAACTCCTATAAAATATTACAAAGGAAGGAACAATTCCAAATTCATTTTATGAAACCAGCATTAACCTGATACCACGCCAGACAAAGACACTACAAGAAAACTACAGACCAATGTCCCCTATAAATAATCCTCAACAAAATTCTAGAAAACACAATACAACAATGCTTTAAAATAATTATACACCATGTCCAAGTTAGATTTATTTTTGAAATTCAGAATGATTCAACATACAAAAATCAATCAGTGTAATACACCACAGTAACAGAATGAAGGAAAAAAGTATGATTAACTCGACTGATGCAGAAAAAGGTGACAAAATTCAACACTTTTATGATACACTCAACAAACAAGGAATATAAGGAAACTACCTCAGTATAATAAAGGCCATATTTAAAAAAAAAAAACCCCTACAGTGCGCATCATAATGGTAAAAGACTGAAAGCTTTTTCTCTAAGAGAAACAATATGCCTGCTTTCACAACTTCAACATAATACTGGAAGTCCTAGGCAGATCAGTTTGGCAAATAAAAGAAATAAAAGGCATTCAAATTGGACAGGAGGAAGTAAAATTATCTCTATTTGCAGATCACATAATCTTATACACAGAAAACCCTTAAGATCTCACACACACACACACACGAACTAATAAGTGAATTCAGCCAAGTTGCAGGATACACAATCAACACCCAAAAATCAGTTACATTTCTATATACTGACAATCTACAATCTAAAAAGGAAATGAAAACAATTTCATTTACAATACCATCAAAAAGACTAAAATACTTAGCAATAAACTTAACCAAGTAAGTGAACGACTTGTGCCCTGAAAAACTACAAAACATTGCTGGAAAACGCAAAAGAAGGCACATATAATTGGGAAGATATCCTATGTTCAATACTACCCAAAGAAATCTACAGATTCAATGCAATCCCTATCAAAATTCCAATGACAAGTTTTGCATTAATAGAAAAACTAATTCTAAAACTCGTATGGAACGTAAAGGGATCTCAATTAGCCAA